GCCTCCTGCCTCAGCCTCACGACAGCTGGGATTACAGGTGTACACATCATACCCGGATAACCCGTTATTTGTCTTAACCTTAAGTAAATATAAATAAAAATAGGGCCTCAATATAAAACTTCTACCTAAGAATTTCAAGTTAATTATACTAGTAGAAGGAAATTCTAAGATGGCCAACTCACTTGAGATAAAAAGATCCAAGGAGGCCGGGGAGATAGCTTGGTGGCATAAGCACCTGCCTGGCAAGCACAAGGTCCTGAGTTTGATCCCTGGTACAAAATCAAAACAAAACAAAAAACTAGGAATCTTTGGTCATTCTGGTTTTTTTTTTTTTTTTTTTTTAGGGGCGGCACCGGGGATTGAAATCAGGACCCTGTGCTTGCAAGGCAAGCCCCTTTTCTAAAAATTTTATTTGTGTGTGTGTGTGTGTGTGTGTGTGTGTGTGTGGCCAGTTCAGCCCACCAGGGGGCGGGGCTGGCTGGCATGTGGTGCTGGGGGATTGAACCGCAGTCCCTGTGCTTTGCTAAGCTTGTTCTAAGTAGGTGCTTTAGACCACTGAGCCGTCTCACCAGCCCAAGCCCTTTTTCTATTGAGCTATCTCCCTGGCCTTTTCTTTGGTCATTTGAATAACCAGATATTCCCTGAAAGTTGTATTTTACTTTTCTGAAGCAACTAAAAGGCCAGTGGGATAGCTCAGCAGACTAAGGGCCTGCTTAGGCAAGCACAGGGACTGAGATTCTCTCATACCACATGCTGCTCCAGGCCCCCCACCTCCCCCAGGCACTCTAAGCAGGCCACCAAGACCACGTATAGTGCATACCTGTAATCCCAGCTTTAGAAAATACTGTAAATAGCTGGGTATGTGGCTTAGCAGCACAGTGCCTGCCTGGCAATCACACGGTCCTGAGTTTGATTTCTGGTACCAAAAAAAAAAAAGAAAGAAAACACTGGAAATACCCTAGCAAATTATATATGTAGACTAAGATTTATAAGGCATAGTATTTTAAAATATCATGTATGTATATACATTACTGATCTTTCCATAGAATTGCTTTGGAACTTCCTTTCCCCATTAATTGGATAAAGTGCAGATTTGCAGTCAGAACTTGGAGCCCCATCATCTCCAAGAACTACCCTAGCATTACTGCTTTTCACTGGTTCCTTTCTTTATAATCCAAATATTGCTCATTTGCATACTCTACAAGGTGTATGTGTCTTGGAGACAAAGAACAGAAGAAAGAGGTTGCAGAGCATCTGTTCAGAAAACATACTTCATGTTCAAAACTAGATTTGCTGGGCCAGGGAGATAGCTCAGTAGAATGAGCGCTGGCCTGGCAAGCTCAGGGTCCCGAGTGTAATCCCAGCACCGCAAAAACAAAGAAACAAAAAATTGATGTACTTTGCACATGGCGCACAGAACACGAAGGCCGGAGATCTTTTCCACCCTCACTCTCCTTTTGCTTTCAGACCGCCACCATCATGGGTCGCATGCATGCTCCTCAGAGGGGCCTGTGACACTCTGCTCTGCCGTATAGCCACAGTGTCCCCACTGGGCTGAAGCTGATGTTTGATGATGTGAAGGAGCACACTTACAAACTGGCCAAGAAGAGTCTGACTCCCTCACAAACCGGTGCGATCCTGAGAGACTCTCATGGTGTTGCCCAAGTACGTTTTGTGACAGGTAATATATATATTTTTTTTTTGGTGGCGGAACCGGAGATTGAACTCAGGACCTTGCGCTTGCCAGGGAAGCGCACATTCCACTGAGCCATCTCCCCGGCCCCTAATAAAATCTCGAGAATCCTTAAGTCTAAAGGACTTGCTCCTGCTCTCCCTGAGGATGTCTACCACTTAATTAAGAAAGTGGTTGCTGTTCGAAAGCATCTTGAGAGGAGCAGAAAGGACAAGGCTGCCAAGCTCCGCCTGATCCTCACTGAGAGCTGGATTCATTGATTGGCTCGATACGGGTCCTCCCCCGCAACTGGAAACAGGAGTCACCCGCAGCCTCTGCCCTGGTGGCATAAATTTATGTACTCGAGCAATAAAATCATGATATAACTAAAAAAAAAAAAAGAAAAAAGAAAAAAAAATAAAGAAAAAGAAAGGAAAAAAAAAAGAAACTAAAAACAGTATGCGAAGGCCGTTTACTGTGTGGATCTTCGCTAATCTTTGAAAAAAGCTTCTGCAAGTCTCCATCTGGCAGATGAGTTTCTAGCCATTTGAGCTTTATTTTAATTACTTTTCTATTGCTGGGAACAAAAATACCCAACACATGAGTCAAAGAAGAAAGGTTCATTTTTTAAAAAAATTTTTTATTT